CAAATAAATAAAATATTAAAAAAAAAAAAAGAACCAACTGCAAATGGAACGTACACCCTCAGTGGATCCCAAGCTTCCATGAGGGCATCCAAGTTATGCATACAGTCATGTGTGTGAATTTGGTACAGGAACTCCATGCAATAGTAAGTGCGGTCTGGATGACAGACTCCAAGGCTGCCTTCAACTGGAGTACTTTACTCAAGGGCAAGTTCTGACCCAAAGAACCACTTCTAACTATAAAACAACTTACCAAACATGAGAAAACTGTTCTAAGCCCATCAAGGAATGTTCAGGATTATTAAAGATGCTCTTTCTAATTCTCAAACAAGCCCTCGAATGGGTACAAATAGATGGCTGCCTTGGAGTACCATTCTTGGCTGAGAAACAGGATTCCAAGTAGCCAATTGGTTCAGTTAAAAGATTCCCTACAGAAGAAAAGTAGGTAAGAAATCATTAGTCAAAATGTCAAATAAAGATGTGGGAAAACATGTTTTCTTTAATGCACTGATTTCATAGTTTTAACATCTACCAAGTGTTATGCAACTATTAAAAATGAAAAAAATATAGGGCGCCTGGGTGGCTCAGTTGGTTAAGCGACTGCCTTCGGCTCAGGTCATGATCCTGGAGTCCCAGGATCGAGTCCCGCATCGGGCTCCCTGCTCGGCGGGGAGTCTGCTTCTCCCTCTGACCCTCCTCTCTCTCATGCTCTCTGTCTCTCATTCTCTCTGTCTCAAATAAATAAATAAATAAAATCTTTAAAAAAAAAAATGATTCACATATCATGAAAACATATAAATATCTTCAACACTACACACACATTATTATATCCCTTTAGATAGCCAAAAAGAGTGCAGGTCTAAGAAAAACAGGGGACATTCTCAGAAGTTCTACTATGACCATAATTCAAATTCTATGTTACCATTACGAAAGTATGTGACTTTGGTCAGGGCTAAAAGGGTATTTAAAATAGAGGGAATTGGGGCACCTGGGTGGCTAAGTTGGTTAAGTGTCTCAACTCTTGCTTTCTGCTGAGGTCATGATCTCAGGGTTGTGAGATCAAGCCCCAAGTTGGGCTCTGTGCCGAGCATGGAGTCTGCTTGAGATTCTCTCCCTCTGCCCCTCCCCCTGCTCATGCTTGTGCACACGAGCTCTCTCTCTCTAAAGAATAAATTAATTATTTTTAAAATATTTTAAAATAAAACAGAGGGAATAACATGCACAAAATTAAATGAGAAGTGTCATAGCACATGCAGGGAACAAGCTATTTTGATTGGCTGGAGTGTGAAAGATAAGGCAAAGAATAATGAAAGATAAGGAGACAGAGGTTGTATACAGACATCCTCATGCTTTTCTAAAGTTTGCATTAAGCCACTGTGTGTTTGCGAAAAGACCTACATCAGTACCTGTTTTTGCTAATCAAAAGAAATCCAAAGAGAATGTTTGCTTTTACCAAAAAAAAGGGCAAAAGTGAGAAGTGTTCAGCATTTGTTCTGCAGCAAACTGTTATAGATGCAGGGTGCCCCCCAAGTAGTGAGATCAGCCCCACCCAGGTCCTTCCCCAGGAACTACACTCAGCATCTGAGCATCAAGCCACCAGAGCTTTGAACTGTGTCTGTGAGGATCTGTGTTTTATTTTGACTTATTTTGTGCATCTACTAGCGATATGTGTCCTGAAGTACCAGAAAAGCCTGAGAGGTTATTTTTTGGGCCTGGGAACACTCAACAATTTTTCCACATAAATTAATGGTAATTGCTTCTTCGCATTATGCCATTTAAGCTTATGAAAAATTTCATAGGAATGATCTACTTTCAGACAGTGGGGAAAACATGTCCAAATAAGGATGCATTCAATTAAAAACAGACATATGAAACAAAGTAGTTTAAGCAATAAAGGGAGTGCATGGGATCATAATCATACTACTAAAATATCTACAGACAGAAGAGATTTCAGGTTAGGCTTGGTCTAGTAGCTCTCTGCCCTGAGAATGTAGGCTCCATGTGGGTAGTGTTTCTATCTTGTCTCCTGCTATGTTCACGATCTAGTACATTGCATGCAAGGGGGTAGGTACTCAAAAAATTCATGTTACATGGAAAAAAAGAATGGTTTAAACTGATTGAAATGGAAAGTGAAAAATTGAAAGAATATAATCCCATTTATGAAAGTTTGCTTATACATTTACCTATTTAAATATGTACCTATATATGTTTAGAAAGCTATTTGGAAGGATATTCACCAAAATGTTAACATTTTGGTAAAATGGATGTGGTGATATGGTAAAAAACAGACAGTGAGATTTTTGGATTATTTTTATATTTAACTTTGTAATTTGTATAATATTTGAAATTTTTACAATAATCAGAAATCCTTTTTTTTCTTCCTAAATAGTAACTCCTTTCAAAAGAAGAAAAGCCAAGCAGCACCAATATAGGGTTAAAGTCCAAGGTATCCACAACTAGCATTTTGAATTTACAAATAACTTTTTTTTTCACATCTCATGAAAACTTTACTTTTTTTTTTTTATTCTTATGTTAATTCCCATACATTACATCATTAGTTCTAGATAAAGTGTTCCATGATTCATTGTTCGTGGAAAACTTTACTTCTTTTAAGAGATGATATACAGACACTCTAGACCATCATTTTATTTCCAGCTTCCATTAATTAAGTCTATCCTACCAGCACAGGTGGTAAGATTATAGGCCTGGTGTTGTCCCTCACAGCACCTTTAGTTACTCTTCACTTATTAAAACTGTATTATTGGCTACATATAAAATATTACATGTAATAAATGTATAATAGAGCATAATACTATGAAATCCTGTGTACCCACCACCCATTCCAAGAACTAGAGCTTTACCAACAAAATATATCTTTTTATGTTGCTTCTCTCCTATGGCAAACCCATCCTTTCCCCCTGAGATAAACAAGTGCCTGAATGGGATCTTTATCACTCACTTCCTTTAATATAATTTTATCACATGCATATGCATGCCTATATAATACTTCATTTATTTTGTCTTTGAACTCCATAAAAACTGGTATCAAACTGCATGTTATCTTCTCAGACTTGCTTTTTCTCTCAATATTACGATTCTAAGACCCTTCCATACTGTGTATGTTTTTGATGACTTTAAATTTTTTCCAAATATGTTTACAGGCATTCTTTTGTTTATCCTCACCCATGTTCCTGTGGAATAAAGACAGTAAATACCTTAAAGATGAGGAAACTGAGGCCAAACAATTCTGGTGTTCATTAAAATGCCATAAAGAAAAATGGCCAAAAAAGAACCCCTAACCTAATAAGATGGGATCCCTGTGTCTTGTTTTCATTTGTTTAACAAACACTCCAATATCATACAATTGCCAGACATTGAGCTAAGTTTGAATAAAAGAAACAACAAGAACTCTTATCACAGTGGAATTAACGGTTGGGGAGAGTCTCACAATATGTTTCAATATCATGGGAAAAATATGTAAAGCACCTAGTACCACACAAAGTGCTCAGCAAAAAGTGGTTTTCCAAGCTCTTACTTAGGCTTTTCCCTCATTTTAACAATACTACAATTGTACTAACTGTGTAATAAGAGAAAAGCCAACAAGTTATTAATGCTGCGTTTTTGTACACAAAGTTTATCTGTATGTCTTAGTGCTGACAGAAAGTTCAGGTCCTTTTGACCCTCCTGCCAGGACTGTAAAATATAATTCATGTCCCTAGCACAGGTCCCTCCCTTTGTTAAAATACTCTACACCAATACTCCAGACTCTGTGTTCCTTAATCTTATGCTACCCTCTAACTAAATTTTCCATGTTTCCCACACTGTTAACAGACATTATATATATATTTTTTAAGATTTTATTTATTTATTTGACAGAGAGAGAGAGCAAGTACAAGCAGGGGGAACAGCAGGCAGGGGAAAAGCAGCTCCCCACTGAGCAAGGAGCCCTTTGTGGGGCTCGATCCAAGGACCCTGGGATCATGACCCGAGTTGAAGGCAGCCGCTTAACTCACTGAGCCACCTGGTATTCAAGGTTCTCCACAATCTGAATCCAATCAACCTTCTTGTACCATCCAGTATTTCAAACTTATAGCTCCCCAATCTGGTGCTATGTAATAGACCTCTGAGCCCTGCTCCTTCCTGCCTGTCAAACTATTAGGCCTGGAATCTAGCACCGTGCAACAATTTTTAAATGAGCACAACCTTTGACAAGTAACAGTAATTTCAGTAAATTTAATCTAAGTTAAACACAACACGCACAAACATTTTAGTCTTAAGAATTTTCTTCACAACAGTGAAAACTGGCAGTAACTTAAACGCCCAACAATAGGGAACTGGTTAGTTAGAACACATCTCCAAAGCAAAATAATGTGCAATCCCTTAAAACTATCAACGGCCATAGATTTATATGAAACTTAAGTTTTAGAAAGAAGCTATGAAACAGTGGGGTCACATAATCCATTTTTCTAGCGTGCATGCACTGAAACAAGTATGGAAGGTAGGCACCAGGATACTAGCAGTGCTTTTCTCTGGGTGATGGCAGACATTTTCTTCCATTTGTGTCTTCTAATTTCTAAAGTTAATATTCCGCTCTATATAATGAGGTGAAAATAAACTCATGCCCATCTTTCCAGGCCCAGTTTAAAAAGATTTCCTGTCTCTTCCCTTCGCCCCAGAACTTTTCCCCATCTCCCGCCTCACTTCCTACAGCACAGGATGCCTCTCTCTCGGGGGTATTTATTAACTCCTAACCCGCCTAACACCAGCGTTCACATCCTATCTCTCCTACATGAGCAAGAACTCCGCGAGAAAGGCTGTTACACTAAACGTGGTTGTTCCAGCCACAGTGCCAGGCCCAACCCAACCGCGGCTACCAAGAACAGAACAGGAGATGACATCATTCCGCTCGCCTCAGCACAATCACGTGGTCGCAGGTGCACGTGATCCATGGCTTCCCAAATAAGTAGAATGACGCACTCCGGTTCAAGTTCTCGCATTTTACATCCCTCTCTACAGTCAGGTCAGCGGCCTGAGCCTAGGCCTCTTTTGAGTGCGGAAGCGCGGGTTTCTCAGAAATTACCTGTTTCCAGAGCCGGCTTCACGCACCCGCACGGGGTCGCTGTGGGCTGAGGCCCCGGCTCCTCCAAGACGCGCATGGCTACTACTCACTGAGGTGTCGACTCGACGCGACAGGCCTTCCGCTTCCGGTCTCCGAGCCTGGTGCCTGCGCAGTAGCCGCCCTGGCGGGGTGGTGCGGGTCCGGGGCCTGGCGCATGCGCGGGGAGTGGGACGCGCTCTAGGTGGGCGCAGCTGGTGGCGCCAGTAGGCTTTCGATTTCCATTTCCCGGCCTCGGTTCCTCTCCCGGACCTGACTCGCTGTTCCCTGCCGCTGACCCGCTGCGATTCCCTGCCAGTCAGCGACTCAGAATTACCGCGCTTGCGAAGGGGGACACTTCGATGAAGATTTACGCGCTGAGATGTCTCTCTCAAACATTAATATAAACAACCTACGTGTCCAATGAATGACTCTGATTTTTAAAGAAAAAGGATGTGTGTATGCAGTTACCACATAGCACAACGATCGGATGTTAGGAAATTACAAATTCTTGAGTGGTGGGAATGCACATGATTATTTATACTTCTGTGTAGTCCCAATGTTTCCACAATAAAAACGATGTTTTGTCAGCAAGGAACCCTAAGTAAGCCTTATTTCACGTCTAATGGATGGGGAGCGTCACACTGGAATAGGGGTTAAGAAGTGGGGACTTCTTTGCGTTCCATACCACGCGGGAACTGAAGCAAGAATGAAATTGAGAGTCAATATGCCATGTACATGGGAGAGATTGTGATCTTTGTTTCTGGGCAGCTATGAAAAGTTGAGAGCCAGCAAGAATCCTGTATTCATCCCATGCGATGACCAGTTATCCTTGCAGCGATACTATCCCTTCACCTACTTACTTGTAAGGTCATCTCTCCCCTATATCAAGTTTCTCTGTACATATAATTCTGTTTCGGGGGGGGTTTATCCTGTTTGGGGTGGGGGGAACATATGGCTTGCAATATGAAATATTCAAAAGAGTGGAAGTCCACAGATTTTAAAAGCTCAACCGTGAAAATCTGTTGCTAAACCTTTTCATTTGTCATGGAGTTATAGATCACTAGTAGAAAACAACCAGCAACAGCCAAAGATATAAAGAGAGGGTTGTGGTTTAAAACACACACACTTTGGGGCGCCTGGGTGTCTCAGTCAGTTAAGCGTCCGCCTTCCGCTCAGGTCATGATCCCAGGGACCTGGGATCTAGTCCCATGTAAGGGCTCTGCACTCAGCGGGGAGCCTGCTTCTCCCTCCCCTCCCTGCTCTGGCTCTCTCGCGCTATCTCGGTCTCTCTCCAATAAATAAATAAAATCTTTAAAAAATAATAAAAATAAAACACACACTTTAAAATTGATCAAATTCATATATGTGTTCTCTGTCCTCTGTCCATGAAAATTTGGAAAAGAATGCTATTAATCTGTTTCCAGGAGGAATGCCATTAATCTGTTCTCCTGCAGAAACAAGTTTGAGAACAATTGAGCTATATACACTTTATAAAACTGGGGCCGTAATAGCTGCGTTTGCCACTAGATGGTGGTGTTGAAAGTAATGTCTCGCTTAATTTGTGGACAGACTAGTGCGGAAAATGAGAGGTATTTGCCCTCCTGACCCTAGATATCATTATCTAATGATAATCATGCAAAATAACGCATTACCGAGTGTGACAAGTACTGCGATGCAAAGGAGGTTTGGAAACACTGATGAAGCAGCTTGCTACATCTAAATTTCAAAGGTAAATTTTCTTTTTATGGAAAACAGGAACTTAAATATGTAGCACTTTTATTATGTGATCTGAGAGGCTTTTTATTATCCTTTCTAGAGTTATATCTGATTATTTGTAGTTTATAAGGCAACTGTTTATTTGGAGGTGAGACCTAGGAATCTGCCTTTAAAAAAACCTAAATGATTCTAATATAGGTGGTCATCAGCCTACACTTAGAGAGACACTTCTCCTTACAATGGTTCTTAATCTTCCATTTGGATGAAGGATCCCTTTGAAAAGCAATTAAAGCTTTGGGACTTCTCATGCATAATTTTAGATTTAAAAGCATAGGAATCATGGATTTTTAAGAACCACTATTGTACCTACCATGAGAGGAAAGTAGCACAAAGTAGGAGTAAATGGTGGCAAAACTTTTGATTCTGTGACCTCAAGGTTCAAAGCCAAAGAAGAAAACTGGAAAATGTTTAGATGCACACTGGTGCTTGAATGAGAATAGTGAGAAAGCAGAGGTTGTGTGTATACAGGGAGGGGGAAAGAGGACAAGCAGAAAGGGTCCTAAGAGGTAAAAAGAGAAGATCCCTCTCCTTCTAATGTACTATATGCCTCATTCCATCTACTTCCCCCTCTCTTTCACCTTTATGCCTCTGTGCATTGTACATATGCAAGTGTCTTATGGTTCATCTTAATGCAACTCTCTTAGAACATGAAACTTCCATTTACTCTTTCTCCTCTAATGTTGACCCACTCTGGCAGGTGAATTGAGACAAGATTTCTTAAGATTAGACCCAGCATGAAAAGCACTGAAGAAGTTAGATGTGACTTTAGGTGAGTACCCAGCCTCTCTGAGGCTATTCCCTCATCTATAAAACTGGAATGATAATCACTGACCCGCCCATTTCACAGACTCCTGTGCAAATCAAATAAGTGTATATGAAAATATAAATTCTGAAGTGCCATCCAGATGTAAATGACTATTATATGGTAATGCTGCCCTCAATATGTCACTGGACTAATATAATGGGGTGTGAGTAATCCCTGTATGATAAATATATCCCGGGAGGGAAAAAAATGTAATGTTGGTGGGGGGAGTGTGTGCAAACAGGAGGGAAAAGCATTGTAACCTCCCACTCTACCAGTGGCCCTCAACTGTAGCTGCACATTAGAATCACCTGGGGAGCTTTTCTTTCTTTTTTTTTTTTTTAAAGATTTTTATTTATTTATTTGAGAGAGAGAGAGCATGAGATGGGGGAGGGTCAGAGGGAGAAGCAGACTCCCCGCCGAGCAGGGAGCCTGACGCGGGACTCGATCCTGGGACTCCAGGATCATGACCTGAGCCGAAGGCAGTCGCCCAACCAACTGAGCCACCCAGGCGCCTGGGGAGCTTTTCAAATACCCTAAATGCAATGTTGTATCCTAGACTGGATCCTGAAGCAGAAAAATGGCATTAGTAGACAACTAATGAAATCCAAATAATGGTAATGTCACTGTCTTAATTTCATAAGTTTTTATGAATGGACCATGGTTACAGAACATGTTAACATTAGGATAAACAGGGTGAGAGGTATAAACCTCTGTACTATCGTTAAAAGTTTTCTATAATTTCTAAAATTATTTCTCAAAAATATTTAAAACAAAAAAGCAATTTAAAAAATTAATATGTATAGGGGCGCCTGGGTGGCTCAGTTGGTTAAGCGACTGCCTTCGGCTCAGGTCATGATCCTGGAGTCCTGGGATCGAGTCTCGCATCGGGCTCCCTGCTCAGCAGGGAGTCTGCTTCTCCCTCTGACCCTCCTCCCTCTCATGCTCTCTGTCTCTCATTCTCTCTCTCTCAAATAAATAAATAAAATCTTTAAAAAAAAAAATTAATATGTATATGCTTGGATGCCATCCTAGACAGGTAAATCAGAATCTCTGGGGAGGTGTCTGGACGGCTGTAATTTTGAAATCTTCCCCAGTGGTTCTAATGGATCCTGAGGGTTGAGAACCTCTTTCTACACTGTGAGTGCTTGTGAGAACTGGGATTCTATCTTGTTCTTCACTGTCTAGCCTAGTACCTAGCACAGTGCCTCTGTACCTATATGGAGAGCTTGTAAAATTGTGTCCTTGCTGAACTAAACCTTTACTTGTAAAAATATCCTTGACTTTGAGTCTTCTGTACTAATAGATGGAAAACTGCAGTTTTCAGATATCTTCCCACCCAGAATAACTCCTATTCCTGCCCCCAGTCTCTTTCATTTTCAGCTAACCCTGACCATTATCACCAGATAGATATTCTTAAAATACTAAAACTGCATCGTTCAAAAGTCTTACTTAGTTCCACATTATCTAACACATACTTCTTAGGTATGCAAAATTCTGTCCACTCTAATAATATGAGACTTTTAGCCTATTAGCCTGCTATTCCACATGGACCATGCATCAGCTCTAGTCTGCATGTAGTTCTCTTGAATATGTCCTGAATTCATCCTTCTCTGTGTCACATACAATACAGTAAAGCCACAATCCTCACCTACAGTACAAATCTTTTCCATCTTTCAAGGCTCCTTGAAGATGTAATTTTTTTAGGTCACTCCAGCAAAAAAAAAAAAAAAAAGTGAGTGTTTCCTTTATTGTATCTACTCTTCAAATGACACTAGCATTTATTATTATTTATATTCTGTTTCATTCCCTTCACAAGACTAGATTAAACCCCTGGTAATGGTGAAACGTGTAATAAAGATTTAATATACATTCTGCACAAATACAATATTTAAAAAGGAAAAAGAAAATCAGAATTCAAACACTCCAGTAAACTGTATTCATCACTCATCACCTCAAAATATCTTTGAAGGAGTCCGAGAACAATTGTTAAAATTAACTTTAAAAGCCTACCAAGTCTGAATAAAATGTTGAAGCTATTGTTACATTGATAAGTGAACAAAGTTTACAAGAAAACTATCACTCCCCCAGATTTTAAGTGTTCAGACAATACTTTCTCTACTTTTAAGAATTAACCAAGGAAAAAATAAATTAAAATAAAGGAATTAAACAAAGAAAGGTTTGTTCTTAAGGGGGGGATCAGTTATTCAGCCATCCCTTTCCCATTTCTGTCTCTCCCCACCACTATCCTCACCCCAATATACATATACATATACACACACACACACGCACACGCACACGCACACACTAGCAGGATATCATCTACGTAATAGAGCCTGAAAAAACACCTTTGTTCTCCCAGATATAGTCTATACATGAAAAAAACCCTTAAAATATTAATGAGTATTGTAGAGATCTACAGTGTTTTGAGAAAATTACACACATAATATATTAAGATGTGTATTTTGTTGGACAACTGTTGATGGTTGAGCATTGTTAAAACAAAACATAACTAAAGACATCATTTTCTGGATGAATTTCTTGAGGAACGTTTGGAATTGCTGGTGTCTCTGGTTCTTCTGCTTTGGGTTTTTCTCTCACTTCTGTAAAATAAAATATGAAAATAGGTTCAATAAATGGTATTGAAACAATTGACTACCTAGAGAAAAAAAACGCTCTACCTCATACCTTGCACAGAAGCAAATTTCAGATGAATTAAAGATTTAAATATTAAAATACCATAAGTGTTGTAGGAACAATAAAATGTTTTTTATAATCTTAGGATTAGAAAGGCCTTTCTAAGCAGAACACAGATCAGAAACCATAAAGGAAAAGAATGACTGGTTTGAATAACTAAATATTAAAATCATGACAGTTTTGAATAAATAAAAATTAAAAATTGGGGCGCCTGGGTGGCTCAGTCATTAAGCGTCTGCCTTCGGCTCAGATCATGATCCCAGGGTCCTGGGATGGAGCCCCACATCGGGTTCCTTGCTCAGCGGGAAGCCTGCTTCTCCCTCTCCCACGCCCCGTGCTGTGTTCCCTCTCTCGCTGTCTCTCTCTCTGTCAAAAAATAAATAAAATCTTTAAA